GCCTTTGCAAGGTAAGATGTGTCCCAGAATGCTCCCTGGGCATTATATCTATCATAGTCCAGTCAAGAAACAATAACCACAGCAGTTAAGCAAATGGGAAACACTTATGCTTAATTTTTCTTAAATTTATAAAGTACCCAACCTGCCTGGAATATATATTATGATGTTTTGAAGTATATAAAACAATATGAATTGAACAAATTCAAGCCTTAAAGAAGTAAATTCTGCTATTTTGATAGAAAATGTTTGATGTAAATACTAGAGAGAAGAGGAGGAAAGAGAACTAAAAGGGACCCGGAGCTGAGAGTGCAGCTGAGTAACTAGTCTTATTAGACTAGGGAGAGAGATGGATAAGGAAACTAAGAGTCAAGAAAGTCTTCTCCCAAAGTTGTCATGGGATGGTCATTACAAGCACGTATAATCTTTCAGGGGCAAAGAAGAATGACAGAGGGAAGGCAACTGTTTGCAGAGGTCATCCATCCGTATTGGATGATGGGAAAGTTAGAGTTGGTTGTCAATGTATCTCATTCATACAAAAGGGTTTGGGCAGACTGGAGCTTTGTGGAATCATTGGCTAATGACTTGGGCAGAGGAGCACTGATAACTCCTCAAGGGGGCCGTTGGACCCCCACATAGAACATTAAAATTCCAGTACCAGTCGGATATTTGGTGTATGACTTTAATATGAGCACTTGGGAGGCAGAGGAGAGTGGATCTCCGTTTGTTCCGGGCCATGTAGTGAATTCCAGGTCAGCCAGGGCTGAAACATGAGACCCTTTCTCAAAAATAAAATAAAGTAAAATAAAATGAAATAAAGTATTCAGTACCAGAGCCAAAAAGACAGAAACTCCCTGGCCCCTTTGCCTGGTCTGACAGGTGACAGAGGAGAAATGCAATCAAGGCCCACTTAATTATCACAGAAGACAAATGAAGGTCAATGGAGGTAGAGTTTTCCATCTAGATCACCAATCAGCTCTGTCCCACCAGCTGTTCACCAAATAAACACACAGAGATTTATTATTATAATTGCTTGGCGGATAGCTTAGGCTTGTGTCCAGCCAGCTGCTATAAATTAAATTAATCCATTTTTATTAATCTATATGCTGCCCCAAGGCTCATTTACCTCATATATGAACTTCGCATGTTATTTCTTACACCTCTGGCTCAAAACTCCTCCGACTCTGCCCTCCTTCTTCCTAGTGTTCTCTCTGCCTAGCCATCAACCAATCAGCTTTTTTATTAACAATGAGAGCAACACATCTTCATAGTGTATGGAAGGATTATTCCACAGAAGAGACAACTTTAAAGACATCACTTCCTAGTGGGTTTTTCACATGATCGTTCCTCCTCTTAATCATCATGCATGTACTTGTTTTTCAAGTCTCTCTTCCCATTCTCAGTCTCAGCCCTCTCATTCTCTTATACAACCTCAGGGGAAATCTCTCTCTTCAAATCCCCTAATATGGAGGTTTATCAGAGAAATCACTAAAATAATTTTTTTTATTCATGAAAATAACTAGCCTACTAGTTTTCTGAAAAGCTCTATGGGCTTAATTTTTAACCCAAACTTGACTGGGTAGTTTGGATTCCACCTGCCATCTTTTTCATTTTGAGTCTCTCAAATCAACTTTTTAATGTATGATTTGGAAGTGTCTATTAAAAGACAGCTTACCTGTTAGCTTACAGACTGTTAGCAGATTCTGATAACAAGGGAAAGTCATTATTCTAGTCAACTAGGAAAATTTTACATTTTAGTAAGAGTTTGGGCACATTATCAGAGTGCCTTAACATGAAAGGAGACTCCCAGACAACAAGAAAATGCAGAAAGAAGATTGTGCAAGTTATAGGCCTTGCCAATAAGAAGTTTTCATCTTCAGTGTTCAAATGATTTGTTGGCACCAAAATTACATTTGACCTTCTATTTTTTTTTTTACAAGATGAACCCTTGAATGGCAAGAAGGGTTCTCCTATTCAATATAGCTTCCCAGGATCTTCTTTTGGGCAAAGGGAATGTGTTTTGGGGTGAATATCAAGAGTTAGGATTTCTGAAAACTCCCTTTTAGATCAGTTCATCTGAAATGTTCTCTCTCCCACCTCTGGCTCCAGAGCACCTAAGTCAAACTGAACTTCTCTATGTCCTCTGAATACTAATAATTGTAATCACTCAAAATACTTTATCAAGTCAAGTACGGTCTCATGAGTTTAGTTTCAATATTTTTCTTTGATTTTTATACATTTTGAATATACTGCTCAAATATATTATGTCTTTGAGGATGGGGCTACATTTTATGGTTTGTTTGTTTTTTTGTTGTTGTTGTTGTTGTTTGGTTTTTTCGAGACAGGATTTCTCTTGGTGCCTGTCTTGGATCTCCCGCTATAGACCAGGCTGGCCTTGAACTCACAGAGATCTGCCTGGCTCTGCCTCCTGAGTGCTGGGATTAAAGGTGTGTGCCACCACTGCCCGGCCATTTTATGTTCTTGATATTATCCTATATATCCTAGTATTTGTCATAAACAACACATGTGAAATATTAATGACTGACACAGATCCAAAATATTGTCTTGTTATATATCATACCATATCTTAAACATATGAGTAGATAAAGGCCTGAAATTAAAAAGACAGGGCTGGTGGGAGCTCATTCCTTTAGTCCCAGCACTCTTTAGGCAGAGACAGGAAGATTTCTATGAGTTCAAGGCCAGCCAGGTTTAAATAGTTTCAAACTAGTCAGAACTATAAAATAAAATAAAACTCTTTCTGAAAAAAAAAACAACAACCAAAAACCAAACAAACAAAAAGCCCAATTATTTGGATAGGTTTTCTAGGTCATATTGCCCAATTTTGAGCCTAAACCTGAGTTTTCTGATTATAAAACAGTCATAATATTTTATACCTCATATATCCATGAAAATTAAATGAGACAATTAAAAAGCCAATTTATATATTTGATACATGTAAAATGTTCCATTATAAAAAACAATGACTCACTGATTTTTAACACCAATATTCAGAGTCCTTAGCTATTTCCATTTCATTTTCCTTTGGTGATTAAAAAAAAAATAATAAGGGAGCAACTAAAGGGAGGAGGGGTAGTTCACACGGAACAAAAAAATTATCTGTCTAAATGATTTTGCTTTCAAAAACAAACAAAAAAAAAAGCAAACAAAAGAAAACCCTGCACCTAATCTGCCATGCTTTCCATGACTGTACACCGATTGCCTTGCCCTTGTTTCAGAATTAGACAGAAGCAGAAAGAAGGTGGTACGTACTCTCCTCGGGAGGCAGAGATTATTGATACTAAATTCAAGCTGGACCAGCTCATCACGGTGGCAGACTTGGAACTGAAGGACGAGAGATTAACGCGGTGAGCACACTCCTCTGGGCAAGCGGAGGTACAGAGGGCCCGGAGCCATGACCCTCCTCTGACCTATGCTTGTTGGAAGTGTTTGTGGGGCTCCAGTTTACACGGGTCACAGAGATCCTCTTTCAAAGGGTAACCTCCGTCTTCTACACACTGCTGCACGGAGACTCAGTGAATCTTCCTAATATTTTGAGTTCAGTATGAATCTCGGACTATGGTACTCAAACAATTCCTAATATTTTGAGTTCAGTATGAATCTCGGACTATGGTACTCAAACAAGACATTTTCCCTGAGACGAGATATTTTTATGCATTAAATCTTCAATGTTTTGTTTCATAACTCTCCTCATATAATAGATTTTCTAGAAATGTCCACAAATATTTATCTTAAGTTTAATTTAATCATGCTCATAAAAGCTTGCTGTTGTTATGCCATTTATTACCATTTATGAAAGCTCTGCTCATAGTTCCTCATTTCAGCATAAAATTATATGAAGGTCTATAGTGCATATGGCATTTATACTTCTAAACTCACTTAGAATTTAGAAACCAATGCAAAATAAAAGCACATTACCTTAGAAAAAGAAATATCAATGTGTGTACTGAATGAGTGACATCATTGTAGCAAACTATGACATTTAAAAAAATAATAAGTTTAAATCTTTTCAAAAGCATTTAAACTGTTTATAGTATTAACACAATTAAAAAATTGTCTAACAATAATCTCCCAAATACTTAATAAAAGCTGTCATGAGACTTTCTTAAATTTACACTTTCGTGAACTCCAACAACATGTGGTTCTTATTAAGCACATGATTATTCCAAGGCACTGGCAAAGCCCTCTCGACATTTTAAAAGTTATAATTAATTTTTACAAGGTGGCATTAAAATATTGAGCATCAAAAGTAATGTGTGGATACTACCTATCAAAGTTGATCTTCATTTGATAGATCAGCTTCATAAGCAGGCTGTTCTCATGTCTAGAAGATGTGCTGTCTAGGGAGGTCCTCCCAAACCCTAGGAAATGAGAGTTATTCGGTGTCACTACATTCTAAGGATACTTGGTTTGTGGGGTAACCTTTTAACTTTTACATATTGATAATTATTTATATTCTATTACCATCATAGGAGGGCACTCTAAAGGCTTGTGTGTAGAATTGTGTATTACCTAGTATATAGTCGGTTTGTCTTTATATAAGAAAACTATATGTAAGAGAACAATAGCTTCCCAACATAGCCTCCACAGTAAAACATATTACCGAATTCTAGAGCATCATCAACTCCAGCTCACCTCCTAGTCCTCTAGGGTCGTGATCTGCAGTAGACATGTCTTCTCTTCCCTCGTGGACCAACTGAACTTCAGCACTCCTTTCTTTTTGCACTCTCTTCTCAATTCCTGGGTCTCTTCCACAGGAGCAGGCTGGCCACAGTCCTTCTGAATGTGTATAAGGCAATAACCTCAAATCTCTCAGTGACATTAATTTGAGCTGCTTGAAAAATATAGTGGAATCTTGCCATCCTGATGCGAATGACAGGAAGGTCACAACAATTCTTTATGAGCATTTTTATTTTTGTCTTGAAGCATCTTTATTGAGCCTGGTAGAAATCCGCAGTAAGCAGATCTTGAGGAGTTCAATACAGTAAAGTGTGTGTGTGTGTGTGTGTGTGGAGGGGGGGTTAACATGAGAAAAGGCATCCACTGAGGTCACTTTTCCTGACAGCGAACGTTAGTGCTGGGGTAGCTTTCCTACATGTGGTGTGTTTTCAGAGCATAACCATTCTCTACTTCTTACCATTCAACACAGCTAGGAAACTGTGTGGTTTTCTTTTTGACTTTTTATTCTGGTAATGACTGTCTTGGCAGCTACAGAGAGGTTTCGAGTCATAGAAATGTAGGCCAGGTCTCTACCAATTCTTTATTAGTGGGCATTTATAATTCAAGGGCTTTGGCTCTTTATTGATTTTCCTGCTTTGTGTTATATTATCTATATATCATGATATTTGTTAAAACCTAAAAGATCAAAAGAATATTTTAAGTATATTTTATTTCTGCATCACAGAAAATTATTATTCAAATAGTCAAGAAATTGAAACTTTAATTTCCAATCTTTTAGCTTTACCATTTGCGTGTAGAACTGCAGAGTTTATGTTATAAAATCTCTATGGATTGACTGAACTTCTGCAGTTACGTTCTTTCTTTTCTTCTTTTTATCCACTTTGTATCCTTCACAGAGCTGGGTCCCATCCATTCTGAAACAATAAAAAAAAAGACTTATATATACCAATGGCCCATAATAAATATTATCTGCTGGATTTAGTACAGAAAATCATTAAAGTTTTCATGCTGGTAAAGTCACTGATAGGTAAGACAAGGTTAAAAAAATAATGACTGAAAATTAGTGCATTAGGCACATTTGCATGGGAGCTGGTCATCAGTGGACTGCTGAGAACCATTGAAGTCTGTGAGGCGCTTCACGATATAACTATGTTCTAAGTCAGAAATAAAGGTTTAATTCTGGAAATGAAGAGTCAAGGAGCTCAGGTTTTCTCCCTAAATGGCGGGGTACTTATGCCCAATGCCAACTTTCTGCAAGAAGGAAGACAAAGTCCGTGAAATCTACCAGTTCGCATGTGTTTTCTACCCAGGTCATGGGTGCACTCTCCCAAACTGTTCCAGTGTTTTCTTGTTCCAGTGAGCTTGCGTCTATCCTCAGTGCTGTATCTCTTCACCTGTCCAAAAGAAAGCATTTGCCAGTAAGGACAGTATTAATTTTAAGGAGCTATATGGTTGATATAAACAAAGTCAAGATGCTTAGTAGCGCATCATGCTGAAGACTTGAGGGTTTATATTATGAAATTATTTAGCATGTATGCATTCTACCATGTGCTTATATTTTAAAACTCATCATATTATATAAATGTTTATTATTTAATTATATTCCACTCTGCGTCACAAAGAGTTTAAGGATTCATTCTCCACATTCTTTCCCAAAGAAGAAGTAATAATGAGCAAACAAATTAGTACCCACTAATTCTATGAGAACTTTAAGAGATGTGGTGAGAAAATGTTTTATAACCTTAGTCAGAATTCAAGACCAGCTTGTACAACTTACAAGATCCTGTCTCAAAACAAAACAAAACAAAAATAAAAAACAAAACAAACAAACAACAGCAACAAAATAAAAAGGAAAGAAAGAAGGAAAAGAAAAGAAAAATTCTGGGCAAATAACTAAGTCAAATGGAACTTATTTACCTATCTTGAAGCCATAGACTCATCTCCACTACTTAAAAATATAATTTAATCTAATAAATAATATAATTGTATGAATATGCTTTGTAAACTATATATCAAGATGCAGTTGGTATTGTTACTGTTACTTATATTTGCAAAATTAAAAACTATTCTACTCTCATATATAGAAATTAACAAAATAATAGTTACTATTTTTATAAGCAAGTTTTTAGTGTAGAAAAAATTTGAAAAAACTAGAATTTTAGTGTAGAAGAGTAATTTTTATTTTGACTTTAGCAAGTATCTTCTGTGTTTGGTGGTGCAAGTCTTTAATCCTGGAACCTGTTAGGCAAGGACAGGCAGATATCTGAACTTGAAGATAATCTGGTCTACATAGTGCTTTCCAGATGAACCAGAGCTACAAAATGAAGTGCTTTTTCAAAATAAAATAAGCTGTAATAGACACAAGGAACTAAATGTAAAACTGTTTGCACATAGATTGCCATCATTGCTTGCCAGATTCTGACCATTAGTTTCACATCTGTTCTGAATTTAAAAACTCCTTGTAAACAGTGGCAAAAATATCTGAGTCCATAATACAATTCCCTGCAAGTAGAAACTGAACTGTAAGATAACCAATGCCCATGTTCCCAGAATGGCAAATAGAAGATAATGTGGTATTGTGCACTAAATGAATAATGAATCTTTACTTCCAGATACTCTTCATTTTTCTTTAGACGCAAGGAGATTTTTGTCATCCAGTAAGTTGTGTGGTAATGCAGAGTTCTGCTGTGATTATTTTGGTTTTGCCAGGTGGTGTGCTGTCTATTTCAAAATACATGATATTGAGCATTTTATTGCTTAATATGCCATTCTTTCCAAGGCCAGAAAGAAAAGAAAACGCTTTCTTCTTGTGATGTGTTCTCTCTAAGACTGCATGCTGTTGCTATGGTAAGATTCTTACCAAAATGCACATTGACTTACAATGTGTATGTCATGAGAATATGTTGTGTTCCTATGATGGGATGGTTTTGATGGTAAATCGGGTTATCATCTAGATTTCTTCACAGGCTTTTCATTCTCCTACCATATCTATGTGACATAAGAGTTTAATGTCCCATATGATGATGGAGAATACTTCACACAAGCCCATTTCTCCAAGCACAGGTGTCAATCTGTAAGGACCAACACGATGGCTTTTCCTGTCCTCTGTCCTCTAACTATCGTTTATGAAACTTTAGTTTCTGTCCTGTCCAGTAGGTAACCAACCACGTGCACTTCCAGAAACTACCCTAATGCTTGGTAATCCCATTTGTGTCCTGGCACAAGTATAGCAGCGTGAAATTATTAATAATATTATTAATAAAAGCAGAGAATGGCACACAGCTGAGTTAGAGTTCTAGAGATAATAAACGTCTAGAGGTGAATTGTTTGGATGGAAGCAGAGGATGAAATGGCATTTGATTTCAAAACCACAAACCTATTAGAGAGGAGTGAGTATCCATAAACCATAAGGCAACATGATGCCAGGACTCCCTCCATCGAACTTGATAATGTATAATATATGCTGTGATTAAAGTAAAAGGGAATAGGCCTTTTCTGCTCTAGGCACACTTGATATTTTGGAATTAAAAATAGCATTATTCTATTTTAGCTTAACAAGGGAGCAGGCACAGACAGAATTAGAAGTTCTATGAAACATTTCATTTTCTTTTTTTTTTTCTTTTTTTTCTTTTTTTTTTTGGTTTTTCGAGACAGGGTTATTCTGTGTAGCTTTGTGCCTTTCCTGGAGCTCACTTGGTAGCCCAGGCTGGTCTCAAACTCACAGAGATCTGCCTGGCTCTGCCTCCCAAGTGCTGGGATTAAAGGCGTGAGCCACCACTGCCTGGCTGAAACATTTCATTTTCAAAAAATTTCCCTGCTAGCATAATGCCTATCAATGTAAGGTGCTCTTAGACTAAACACTTCATTGATCATGTTACACATAAACTATCTATTTCTAACCAACATTATAAGCTGACCTTGGGGAATTGTTGATTCATGACATATTGGTTGGTTAATTTAATGCTTGGCATCATCATAAAATAGAATGATTCTACTGTAGTTTTCCCTTCCTGCAATTAGTACCTCAGGGGTTCTCCCAGAATTGGTGCATACTGGGTCTTTCCCTTGAAAGAGCTGAGCTTAGTATTTGGCGTGAATCAGTTTTCACATGACTCCTTTCCACCCAATACATGATGGTAGTGGATCTCATCTTCTACATACGACTTCTGTGGTGCTTCCTCAGGGCTTCCATTGCTCAGCTGCAACCATTGCAGATAGCTCAGGGCAGAAGATTTCTTGCACAGGGTGTGAGGTCTTCTGCTTCCTTTCCATTACATCTGCACTGAGGGCATTGGCCCATGTCTTAACACAGCTGGGCACAGTTCTCCTCGCGACTGTCTGCTCCTGTCTAGTTGCTTTTGAGATAAATAATCTGGGCCCACAGTTAGTGAAATAAAACATCTGGCAAGAATTGGTTTTCAAATGTGCTAATGTAGAGTGGCTCTGTAACAAGGCAAGTGTGATGCCTGCCGCGCTGGGAGTCTCACCTCAACTGGTTGGCAGCAGGAAGGATGCTGCCTTCTTATCTCATCTAGATGCCATTCCCCTTGCCTGAATGAGAGGAATGGCAACCTGTCTGTCACTGATTGCTCCCTGAGCAAGGTTATGTCTCCCTTAGGAAATGATGCCTTTGAATCAGTGTTAACAGCCAACGCTCAGAATCTTTTTAATTTTTGTTGAGACCCACAGAACAATTACTGGTTGATTTGCCAAAAGGATGGAAAGGATTTGAAAAAAAGCCCCAAACAGATTTAAAACACTAGGGTAGGAAGGAATTAAGAACTATCTAAAATCATGACTGATGATACTTCGCACAAGTGACAGAATATCATCATTTTGATTAAACCCTAGGAATAATTAGGATTGGTGAAATATATAAAGTAAAACCTTATTTAAAAAAATCTTATAATTTCACAAAACCAGTATTTCTCAAAACCTAGAAAATTTAACATACATTTTACTGGAGAGATTCTTCTCTAATTTGTTATTTGAATAGTTAGGACATGTTTGGTGTACAATCCATATATTTTATCAAATCAGTAATTTATCTTATTTTATTTTTAACCCTATTTAGCTGCTTAAGGGGGAAAAACAAATTTCTCATCTTGTCCTGTACCACTGTTAATGCTGATTTGAGCTGTTTCTCTACTCTCATTGTGTACTTATCTCTATAAACGCTATATTTTAATTCCCTGTAGATTTCAACTAATTGGCCTTGAGAGAAAGCCGAGTCCCCGACAATATGGTCTTTCATCACCACTGCCAACATAAATAAATGGTTCCTCTCTGGGTCCATAAGAGTAATCTGAGCAGAATTTAAGTTTCTGATAGACCTTCAAGTAATGAACTGAGCTGTGAAATAATACTCTTTCTACTGAAAGACGTAGGATTTAAGGCAGCTAGAACTTAGGTAATGAAAAGATTTATGTAATAAAAGTATTTAGCCCTTTATATTGAAAAGTGGTCTGTAATCTTACAAAAATCTGGCCAATTCCAAACTCGATTTATCTACTAAATGAACTTAATATAATTTGACAGTTATCCCCACTACCAAAAGTGAATATGAGCACTGTCCTAATGTGAAAATGAGTTTCATTCAACAGTTTTTAAAAGTTTTAAATTTTTAATTAAATTAAATGCTTTACTTGAGTGTGGATGCCCCCTTAGATCACTATTTGAATGCATCACTATTGAACTAATATTGTTGGGTTTTACTCACAATCTCAGTGAGTTTCTTAAGGCCTATACAACCAGTCTATGTCTACAAGGAATTCAATTATTCTATCAGTGATAAACATATCAATGTATTTTTCTCACAGTTGGTCACACCTTCTTTTCTACCCATACATTTTCCAAATTAATATTTTTCTGGTAAAAATAAAAATTCAGGATCTTGAAGATAAACAAATTTTACTTTTATTATTTATTATTAGTAATTAATATTGCTTATGATTTATTATGTAAATGGCATCATCTAAGGTAGAAATATAGCTGTATAGCACACAGGAATCAAATACAGTCACATTACATGATGCTACGGAATCAGAGCAATGGTGTGGTCAGTACAGACATCAACAAGAGGGAGCAATCAAACTTCTATTTGAGATGGCTGGGTATATATTCCAAATTACCTTCTCTATTTCAACTATTTGTATAAAGGTTTCAAGTTTTTGATTTATATATAATTGTGGCACAGGCATAAACTAAAATTTACCAAAAATTTAGGAGTTGAGAAGCCCGATTTCTCATGTAACATAAAGATAATTGTGAATAATGATTACAAAAATGTTATTGAGTTTAGATAAAGTAAGTGATAGGAAAGAAAATAAAGCCATATTTGAACCAACCATCTTACCTTCTTCCTTCTTTACTTCCTTCCTCCCTTCTTCCCTCC